GCAGAGCAGGAAGGGGGGCCCGGGGCTGCAGTGGGGGCAGACGAACAGGCACAAGCAGGGGCAAGCGGCTTGACCTCTCCATACCATCTGCCCCCCACTATCTGCCCCCTGCAGTGGTGGGAAGGATGAATTAAAGATGACCCTCTAATAAATAGATTCTATACATGGAAAATTACAACAAATTTATAAACTGTCCATACATAGAATATAATTATTGGGGAGGTCGTCTTAGGTTCAGGGTCATCTTAGATTTGAATAAATGCAGTAGTTAACCCATTGAGAGACATGGGGGTTATCAAAGCTAATGCAGATAATGTGATAAGAATTTAGACAAAATACTTAACAAAATCCAGGTTTGGAAAAGGAACCAGCAATAGTGACATGCCCTTTCCTTTGAAAAACCCTAAAGGGACTCAATGGTGAAATGGTGTGTCCCCCCTCAGAGTGAAAAGGGCTAATAATTTAAATTCCAGCCCCTTATCCTTTCCCACTGCCCTGTTCCCAAAACTAGAAGTGTTGGCAAACACCAAGAAAAGAGAAATTAAAAGTACAAGGAAGCAAGGTGAACACTCATTTTAAATGTAATATGCTAGTCAGCTCCTACCAAAACAAATGTAGTGTATTCAATGGAACAGACAGGGATGTTCCAGCAGGATCTATTGAAGAAATTGCCTGGAAGATTTTGAAGCCTGTTATCCTCCACTTTCTGCTGTAAAACAAATCTAGTGAAATTAGGTCCATACACAAGGAAAGTGACAGCACTACTATAAAATACCCTGTTCTCATGGCAGCCTTTCTGTGAAAGTATAGCATGGGGTTAGGACACTGTAGATCACAAGGGGTTGGGGAAGGAATGAATGGGATGGAATAGCAGGTAGCTGTACAAATATTTTATAATTTCCCTCTGTAAAATGGTGACATGGCAATCATTCTTACTTTACCAAGTATGCTTAACCACACAAACTCTCCTATGTGGGGAATACATGGCACAAAGAACTATCTGGGAGAAAGACTTCTGTGAGGATAGTGCAAGGTGTAACATGAAAACTCAGGGCCCAAAAGATCACAAAACATACTGAGATGGAAAAGCTGTGTTTAATTCTAGCTACTGAATACCTTGAGGAAAATCTGGAAGAAATGCTATGAGCGGACCTTGAAAACTCTTTGGAAGACAATTTCCTTCTCCAGGTGTCACTGCAGAAGAAGATAATATGCACATTATATTGAGAGAAACAGTTACTGAAGTATGTGGAAAGGGAAATAAATAAATTATTCTGAAAGTACTCCCAAAATGTTGTCTTTTACCAGCTTTTGTTATGGTAATTACCATATCTTCTTGCATACTACCCACATCTTTCTCCACAAATCAGCTCTTAGAAATTAGGATGAATACTATATGCAAGAAAAATGGATCCATATGGCTCTGTTGCTACTGCTCCCTGACTGCAGAATTTCTAGACCCATGAGGAGCCGCTTGTCCAAGTGACATGGCCCTGCCATGAAAAAGTAAAAAATGAAAAAGAGGACAGTCAACATAACTTAGTTCTTGCAAATCTGCAGGGTTAATCAAGAGGCCTCAGTTTTGTCTGTAATTCTACAGATGCTTTCCTGTATAAGTTTGGATATATCACTTTGCCCATTTGCACATCTGTAAACTAAGGATGCATATCTATTTTTCAGCCCTCAAATGAAAAGCAAATGAAAAAGTCAAGTTATTCTTATTATTTTATCTTTATTATTGCTATTTCTGAAATAGTATCTGTCCACTACTATTTTAATAGGCTACATTTTAATATAAATGCTATTTCTTAAAAATTACAATAAATATGTTCACAAGAAGCATTTTGTTTTATTCCCAAGTGCTAATCAAATGTGCCTGCATAAAAAAGACTTGAAAAATAAACTAATTTGAAAAAGAAGAATGAAAATCCCTATTGAACATGATACTAGACATGAAGCTTCCATTAAGTGTAATGAGAATGACACTACTAAAACTCACTGCAATCATTTGAAAAAATTAGAAATAGAGTTTAAAATCATTGGTTAGTACCTGGCTTTCATATATTGTAAAGAATTTTAGACAAAAGTAAATCACATATTTGTTCATAAGTTAATAATTTCTCATGGTTGTTATGATATTTGTATTGTTGGGTGGGAAAACTGATAGCAGAATTGGTTAAGTACAATCTCCAAGCTCAATTAGTGAAGGAAGGTGCTCCCAGACTTCCTTTACGTATGATTTAGACGGAATTTAATCAAAGCAACCTTCACAGGTCTTTTAGAATTGGGTTTAGCATTTGCTTCATAAAAACACCTCCGACTAAAAGACAAAGGAATAACATTTTTTTTTTTAAAGCAGACAGTATTAAGACTTTTTTTAATCAAAAGTTAATAGTCACTTTTGTCTACCGGTAGATTTGGAGACTGTCTGTTCTAACTTTGGAATCATGAGTGGAACAACAGATATGAATATTGCCTGTGGCCCAATAGTAGTAATTAAGATCTCAGCTATGAATGACATTTTAGGTTGAATTATATAATTGGAAATAAGAAAAAAATCAGGAATTTTAGAACAGTAAAGCTAGATCAGGAGTCATAATAATTAACTGTAACTTAATTGTAACTGATCCATGTTTCAGATTGCTCTAATGTAAAGAATCAAAGTCCCAGATGATAACCGAATTTCCTAGGAGAACCTTTGCCTATCTTTTCAAATTTCCTTGCTGTTTGCATATTCACTCACGCTATTGTCATTACCTGTCTGACAATAATGCACCATTACCAACATGATGCATGATATAAATGTGATTGTGTTTTTAGTCATTCTTTAAAGTTGGGGTTATTATCTTTGGTTTTGTTCATTTTTGCTAAACTGAGACAGGTAATAGATACAGCATAAAGAAAAATTGAAGTTCAGTAACCATCCTTATAGGAGATAAATGGTTCCAAGTGCTCTTACCATTATATTATGCTAAACTCTGTAATCCAATTGCCATTTTCTAGATTACAAGTGATTTAACTTCCAAAGGAACCTAAATCATTTTTTGTCCCAATAGGTCAAATTTTCTTTATTGTTCCAGTAACTCTTTTTTATAAAGGGGGAAAACAACAAACCCAAATCTCTTATTATGTGGTACATGCAAGAACTTTCAAATTCACAGGATTGGGATCAACAAAGCTATTACCGTCACTCCAGTGAAAAGGTACAGATCATACTGAAGAAAAAGTGCAAGCTTTAATGGATTCTGCAATAGGGTTACTCAAAGGAAAAAGGTCTGCAGTGAGATCAAGGTTTTCGTAATTCCTTTGGTTTCCTCTGCTTGTTCTTATATGCTAAACATTATGTGGCTAAACCCATGCTATATGAGATACTATGTCACTTGCACTGAATACCAAATCCATTCCAAAGCTTGATTTTTATCATGTAAATTGAAGTTGCAAAGATAAACAATAATGTGTACAGGAAAGAATGTCATAGGGCTGTTGACCAAGGGTAATATGTGATATATTTTGAATTTTTTAGGCAGAATTCAGATGTGAATGTCAATTATTTAAGCATAATGAAAAGTCAGATGGGGAAAAGCATGAGACCTATTCTGCAAATAAATTCAGGGCTCAGAGCTGAACATCTGAGTGGACTCCTCAGGGAGGGGTGGCACAAGGGCTTCCATGGAAAAATCTGACATTTAGGTCTGGGGGGTTATGTCTTAAGCCTGCCCACAATTCTTTTACACACGCAGGGTGTGTCTACACTTGCATTTACACCAGTTTAAATTTACTGCATGTTAAGTGGAAACAGGCCAGCATCTACACATTCAGGCATTAAAGCGCATTAATGCTGTGTGTGGACTGACTTGGGACTACAGTTAGTCCCAGGCCAGTCCACACACAGTGTTACTGCACAGCAAGGTGTCTACATGTGTGTTACTGCAAAGTAACTAATCGGGCATAAATTTGATACCTGCATGATACCGCTATCAAATTTACACTCATGTTGGAGTAAGACACCATATTTACTATGCAGCATGGGCATTCATGCATAAATGCACACTCATACTGCGCAGTAATTTTAGTTAACATGCAGTAAATGCACATGTGCAGATGCAGCCAAAGGGGGTGTACAGATGAGCCCGCATGTGCCTCTTGCCACATCTCAAAGCAGTTTAAGATGTGGCAAGAGGCACACTAGAAACAAAAAAATGTTCCCCATGCTGCAAATTAGCAGCGCAAGCTCAAAATTTGATACCTGAATATCCAAGTATCAAAATAAAACAAAAAGGAAAAAAACAGGGCAGGACATGGTCTCTGACTATGCCTTGAGGTAACCCAGGAGATGGTCCTCCAGAGAGATGCTCTGGTTTCTTACCAGAGCAGCTTTATGGTAATCCTGCTGCTCCAGTATGTGGGGCATGAACCTTTAGCATGCTGGGGCAAGCAGAAGCGTGGCAAGGATCGGGACCCAGGCACTGTCATGGGTAAGTAGGGACATGGGGCTGGGGGGCGTTACTGGTGTGAGAACTGTCAGGGGGATGAGGGGGTGAGGATTGGTGGGGGGGTGAGGAGTGGCTGGGGGATGTTGGGAGGTGTGGGGAGTGGTGGGGGGGAGACATGCAGTCTGTGCATGGGTTTGTGGAGGGAGTTGAGCAGGGGCTGCCACACGCCTGCCTCCCCCAACCCCCTGCAGTGCTGGCAGCAGCAGCCAGAGCAACTGTAGCCTGGCTGCAGGTACAGCCAGTGGTGACATTGTGCTATATGACCTGGGCTTTGTACATGCTGAATGGATCTGGCCTGGCCTAGCCCAGCCCGCTAGCACACATCTTTGGACAGGACTGGGAAAGCCATGCACTAGTGGGCCAGGCTGGGCCGGGTCCATTCAGAAAGTACAGAGCCTGAGTCACAAAGCGCTGTGTTGCTGCCAGCTGTGCCTGCAACTGGGCCACAGCCACGCTGGCTGCTGCCACCAGTGCCATGCCAGGGGGGCAGGAATGCGGTAGCCTCCACTTGAGCACCTCCACAAAGCATGCAGCCCATTAGTGCACCTTTGCACAGGACTGGGAGGTGTGGCCCCAGGATGCACGGCTCCTGTGCAAAGGTGTGCTAGCTGCGTGGCCTGGGCTGGGTTGGCTCAGGTCAGGAACATTTTCCATGAGGCTCAGGCAGCAATGCATGGCCATAGAGCTGTCCCTACAACAGGCCATGGTGCATCACCACCCGAGCCTCATGGAAAATGAACCTGGCCTGCCTGACCTGACCCAGCCAAGGCTCCACAGCTAGCGCACCTTTGCACAGAAGCTGCATGTCCCAGAGCTGCGCCTCCTGGTCCACTGCAAAGGCACACTAGTGGGCTGTGCCAGGCTGGATCCCACCATGCACTTCCTCCTCGCACACACTGTGGGTCCAGCAGCACTGCCGCTAGAGGCAGGACCTGGCTCGGTATGACATCTGGTCCCTGTGAGTGGTGCAGGGCCCCAGGTGACAGTTCAAGCAGCCCAGGGCTGCCTGAAGGCACAGCCCCATGCTGCACTGTGCTGCGATGAGCTGGACCCATGATGAGTGCATAGGCAGTGTCATGTCTGAGGTGGCCAGGGCTGCGCCACGCCATGCCACTGGGGCCTCTGGCTCCATTGGGTGCTGAGTGCCTGACAGCTGCTGCTTTTGTGAGGGTGAGCTGTGGGCCTTGTGGGGATCGCTGGGACACTGCAGGGGGGTCTGGGGCCCTGTGGGGGTGGGCTGGTGCCCAGTGGGGGGGCAGTCCATGTGCTGTTTGGGGGGGGCTGCACCCTGTGAGGGGGCAGGGGACCCACCCCTCCTGAGCAGCTCCCCCACACAGTCCTCCCACACCCCACATCCCTCCACACTCACCCACACATTCACATCCCCCACACCTCTTTCCACCCCCCACCTGCAAATCTCACATCCCCCCATTATGCATTCATTGTTCCCAGCTGCCAGACAGGATGAGACCTCCTGGCAGGAGCTGTGGCTGCAGGGGCAGCTGTCCCCACATCCTAGTTAGTGAAAGGCCCAGGGGGAGCTCTAATTGTTCTATGATAAGAAAACTAAAAACAAAAATCAAAACACATAGATATTTAGAATTAATTTTATTATGATGATAGAGACACTGGTATGCTTCCAAATTGCTTTATAATTGTTGCCCAACTGACTGGTCTGTGTGTGTTCAAGTGACTTGATAACAATATAAAGATAGCATTGCAACATTAACTCCTGATGAATCCTGTATGTTTTCCACTCTGAAGCTGTATGGCAGAATATAGGAACATACCAAATGGTAGAATATAAGAACATATAAGACCAAAGCTCCGTCT